CCCAGACACAAAGTTGGTCGGGCTCTGATATCATGTCTCTAACCCAGGCACAAAGTGGGCTGATACCATGTAAGAAACTGGGGAAAAGGAAAGCTTTGTGGGCTCTGATATCATGTCTCTAACCCAGACACAAAGTTGGTCGGGCTCTGATATCATGTCTCTAACCCAGGCACAAAGTGGACTGATACCATATAAGAAACTGGGGAAAAGGAAAGCCCATATGAAGCGCAAATGAGGTTCTATCCCAAAACCAATTGGTGAAAGGAGGAGTAGCCCATTAAACTTATAAGGTGGGTCTATTTTCTATGTGTGAACGATGTGGGACAACTCACAAGTGATATTCTAACATAATCCATTAGTAATTAAATATTGTCCCACAATTTAAGAGTAATAGTTTTATAAAAAAATATTATTACTTTTCATAGTTTTTTTGTTTTTTTGTTGCTTTTTTTTTAAACTGTCGTTATCTAAAACTCTAAAAACAAAATCACATTCTCCCCTCATGCTATACAATTAACTATTTAATGCTTGTTTTCTTAATTAATATATCCATTTTATTCAACTCCAAAATCATATTCACCCATTTTATTGGACTCTAAAATATATATATACTTCATTCACTTGATTAAATGCTAACGATCTCATATTTCCAAAAGAGGAAGATCTTATAGTTATTACTTTAAAATTAATTTTCATACTATAAAGAAATGATATAAACGAAGTATAACATTTCATAATATAAGTATGTATTTTTGTTAAAAGAATATGATGAGATCGACCCGCCTAATGGTTGTGCTAGCTCACACAATAATATATAATATTTTTTGCAAAAATCTTCTTCCAACATTAGACAATTATTATGTTTATTTTTATTTTTTTTTTAAAAAAATATTATATTATAAATATGGGAGATACTACGGTCTCGTTACGGTACCATCCCGTCGGTTATTTTAACCGTTAGATCTACGTGTAGTTAGATAAGATCGATAATTCAACGGTTAAAATACCCGACGGAATGGTACCGTACCGGGATGGTAGCATTTCCCTATAAATATAATATAAATAAAAATATGAGATTTCGTATCATAAATATCTATTTTTGATGAAAAAATAAAATAAAAATATAACCAGTCGGGTATTTGTGTCGGGAGAAAACATGGGCTACAACTCACCACAAAGTGAACATGAATAGCAAAAAAAGTAGTGAAAATAATAGAGCAGAGCATAATGCTCTGTATTTCCATTTAATCGAAATTTATTTTCGAAAATTAAAGTCATTTGTTTATCCTCTGAAAATACACAACAATGGGGTGTTGTCACAGCACAGGAGATGAGACTGGCGCTTCTCTCGAGTCGGAAGAAACTGTGAAGGAAGTCCTTGTGGAGGTTGTTACGGAATTAGAAGAAGTGAATGGAGCGATTATAATGGTGCCGCCGCTGGCGGTTCATGCCGAACCCGATCCTCACGGGGAAGAAATTGTTTCTGATATTTCGGAAATATGTAGCTTTAGAGAGAGCCTTCCGAGTAAGACGACACATGGAGGAGCAATCGCGGCGCCGGAGAATAGGCAGACGGCGGTGGTGCAGCCGAGGAAAGTGGCTGCCGTGAGGTGGCGGCGGGGAGATGGGAAGAGTGAGATGGTGGGTAATGGAGAACCTCGAAACGGCGTAGTGCCGGAGGAAGAAGCCGAGTCGCTCGAGAACCCTGTTATCTCCTTGGAATGCTTTGTTTTCTTGTGATTTCCTTTGCTTGTTACTCTCTCATTGTCCTTTTTTCATTCTCTTTTTATTTTGTGAATTCTAATTATACAAATGTTTAAAAAAAAAGGGTGAGTTTTGATTGGGAATTGGAATCTCAGAAATTCTTCAATATAATGCTAGGTTGTACAGTTGATGCAAGAGAACGACATTCCCACCTATCTTTTGAGTTAATTATGGTAAAAAATAAAAATGTTATTATCATGTTTTATGACTACTTAATTGTAATCATGTTTTATGACTACTGGTACAGAGCCCGTGCGATGCACGGGATGCACAATTTTAAGGTCATTTATCCATTCTTATAATTATAGAAATGAATAAAAAAAATGTACGGGATATATATAGTACGTGACCTGTAATAGGCCAAAATGTGAACACGGGTGATGCACGGGGTGCACAATTTAAGGTCATTTATTAGTACAGAGACCGTGCGATGCACGGGGTGCACAATTTTATAGTATATGTAATAAAAATACATACCGTATGCACGGGACATAAGCACTAAATGAGTCATTCCACAGAGCTTGTCCGTTAAGGTAGCTCCTGAACACGGGTGCACAATTTGTAGTACGTACCATAAAATCAGAACAGATTTTCATACAATTAGATAATAAATTAGATAATAAATAAAGCTTTTTTATTTTAGTAAAGATTTTACGTACTTTGTTTTTTTACTTATCGGATGTTATGAGATTTTTTTTGTTAAATCGATTTTATGGAATATAATATAAATACAATTAGAGGATTGAACAAAATCAGAACAGATTTTCATACAATTAGATAATAAAAAAATTAGATAAGGAAAAGAATGAATTAGATAAGGAATTTTGAATCTAATTTTTTTTTGGATAGATAGACTTTACGTACAAAATTTGACTTCACTGATTTTATGAGATTTATTTGGACAAAATCAATGTTAATATGGAATAAGACAAATAAATAGAGTCTTTTTATTTTAGTAAAGATTTTACGTCTTTTTTTTTTTTTGACTTGTCAGATGTTATGAGATTTTTTTTTTCTTAAACTAATTTTATGGGATATAAGACAAATAAATAAAATAATTAAATAATATTTTGGATAGAAATAGCAATGCATTAATTACGTTGATTTTTCAATCTACTAAATTGGGTAAATAGGATACCTTATATAATAAGTATAGATACACATAAATAACATGCCAAAATTTTAAAGAATAATTAATGTATTTTAATTTATTATCTAACCATCAGTAATATCATTTAATGATGTGATCATTATCTCTTAAATGATAAATAAAATATTAATTTATTTTTTTTTTTGTTTTTTATATACTCAAATAAAAATTAAAAAATACTATCGACAAATATGAATTATAATATATATCAGTAAAATCATTACAGAAGTTAATAAAATTATTTAAGGAAAGAATATTTTTAATCATATTTGAATAGGAAATGTATAAATGCAAGCAATTAATGCATATAGTAAAAAGTTTCTAAATAAAGTATGCATTAAATGTGAATTGACTTTTCTTGCTACTATTTTTGGTAAATAGTATGGCTTTTAATATAAGTGTAGATTATTAAAAAAATTAATTAATTATAATTCACACTATAATGTAGTGCTTTTTCTAACTTATTAACATAATGTTATCTCATTATTACAAAAATATATATATATATTTTATTCATTTCATTTACATTATATGTAATCAATAATAGTGATTCGTTTATAGTTAATAATTAATATTATATTGTTCATTTACTAATGATTTAATTTGTGAAGTGTAGTATGTCAATTACTAATTTATAATTTGTAATATTACATATTTGATATACTTTATAATACTTTTACATATGTGCATGTATACAAGATGAACTACTGGTACTTTTACATATGTGCATGCATACAAGATGAACTACTGGTACGAGGAGAGCTGAAGGTGATATTAATTATAATTTGGCACATAAAAGGAAAATTATTCACCATCAGCGTGTATTATAAAAAGTACAAATCGTTTAAAGAACATATTATAATTTTAACTTTAATCCATTAGTTCAATTTTTTCCCAAATACAAAACATCTGTTTAGCCAAGCCACCCCTCTCATTCATGTTGCTATGGACTCAATCGTCATGCTAAGCATTTCAATTTTGGTAATTATAAATAACACCTCCAGATTCGGACCCGCCCCTGTACAATTACCGGGATCTCTTCTGCTTTAACTTGGAAAACCGCTTCATTTTCCCTTTGCTTTTCCGGGGGACAAGGGCAAAATGGTCATTAATGTGGCGCAGAATGAGCCCGTTCGTCATCCCATGCATAACTCCCAACAGTATTTACACACACAAGCCACCTCAAAAATGAAACCGCTAACAAACCTGCAAGATATTTATTCGTTCTCAGTGGGCACCAAAAATGTCAAGTTTGTAATTCGTGCTTCGTTTGACAGCTCGTATAATTTGAAATTTACAAGTGGTCCCTTCTTATACTAGAGAAATTTTAACCTCAACTCCTCAACTGATGCAATTTTTTTACAGAAAAAAATTGCGATGTCGAGCTCATAAGCTAAAGAGGGTTGTTTCAAGATAGCATTTTTTAGTAGATATGCTGAACCTCAAAGATAGTGTTTGTAGCTGAGCCAGAATAGTAACTATATACCTGTTTACTCTGGAGTTATTTATTGGAACAATTTCACATGTTTAACTCAAGACCCAAGGGTAGTGTCTGTAGCTAATCCTGAATAATAACTATATAGCCTACTTTTTGCAACATTTTGCTAGATTTCACAATTTGATCCCAATCTCGTCATTTTTGAAATGTCAGGCTAAAACCTTTTATTTTTCTTGCATATTGATCCCTCTGTAAAATCTCTTGTATTATTTCATTATCACAGGGTTACTTTAATGGTTACATAAATAAAACAGTTTATCTTAAATGTGAGCATTGTAGGTTGTCTGGCATGGAAGTCCTGCTCTAACATCATCACTATTGTAAAAATTTAAGAGAATGAGACTAGTATGCAAAGACTGAAGATTTTGGGATCAAATTGCAAATGTTGCAGAAGCCTTAGGTAATTTTCTACAAATAACCCAATTTCATAACTGCAGCCTATGTTCAATATACTCGAAAAAGAAAAATGCATCAATAAGAAAAACAAATATAACGTATCACTAGGCAATTCTTGGAATATTAATTAAGCCATAAAAATTCAGAGGATACAAACAAATAGCAGTATTATCACCTTTAGCAAGTCTTCGATCACCTGCCCTGCACCACTCTGTAGTTAAGGACAAGGTCATCAGGTTTCTTCCATATGTATGCACGTACAGTTGCTAAACTCATGTCCGGAGGTAACACCTGAGTGATTAACAGAAAGCACATGAGTTCTACAGTTCCTATTAATACTTGTGTGTGTATATAGTATAGCTGAGTGCTTTCTATGTGCCCAATCATCCAATTCTGAAGTCTTTACAGCATTCCTAAGCACAAGTTTCGGACTTGCCTGGTTATTGCACATGATCTCTATAGAAGGTTTCAGTTTTTGCCATGGTTTTAGTCCCGCACGAAAGGAACCATCCCCAACAGATGGAATTGAGATCTGAGCACCAGGCATCCCCGTGGCAAAAGTTCCATCACCGTTCACAATATCCATTGGCTTATCAAGAACCATCTTTTCTATGACATAGTTGACGACCTAAAACAAAAGGTTGTTGCAACCTCGGTCAAAAAAAAAAAAAA